ATCGAACTCACGACTGCCTGCTGGCAAGGCAGGCACTTATGCCACTGAACTAAATCCTTAGCCCCAAGCAGCACTATTTGTAAAAACCAGAGGTAAAGGCAACCCGGATGCCCATTAATGAATGAAGAATAAACAAAATGTGCTCTACATACAATAGGACACTATCCCATCTCTAAAGGAAATCTTGCCACATGCTATCATGTGGGCAAATATTGAGGACATTATGCTAAAGAAAGTCAGCTACACACAGGCAAAAGCTGTATGAGTCCGTTCTACAAGGTATCTTAAGTAGTCAAATTAGTAGAAAGACCAAGTTGAACAGTAGTCACCAGGGCCAGAAGATGGAACAAAAAGGAGATTGTTTAATGGGTACAGAATTTCAGATCTGCAAGATGGAGATGTCTGGAGATTTGTTTCACAACAATATGAATGTACCCAGCACTACTGAACTTAAGGATGATTAAGATAGTAACTTTGTGTTGTGTTTTTACCACAATAAATAAGAGAAAGAAGAAGTACTGTCACAATATAAATGTTGAGACTATGTTCTGAAATTTAAAACACTTTTAAACAAACAAACAGCAGTTCAGCAGTCCATGGCTTTCCTAATCTGCCGGCCCATGATTTAATACAGTCCTGCTCCCCCCATAATCAGCACCCTAACTTCATATGCTTCCCTCTATAATCTTTTTATAGAATAACAGAATGTTTCTGAAAGTTTTGGCCCAGACAGGACACTGTAGCCGGTGAAGCCTTAGAGGCAAAATCAAGGAGCTCCCCCACCCCTAGGAATTTACCTCTGGTGCCTAACGAATACCAATTGGCTACCTGTACATCCCTAATGCCTCTCAGGCACCACCCCAAACCTAAGCTACATGTATGCCCCCACTCCACGTGTCCCATGGAGAGATCACCGACTCCGGAGGGTGATGCCACACCCCAGGGGGTGGGGTGGGGTGTCTCTCCCTGCATTCTTAAAATAAAGGTCATTTATATTTCATACTTCTTATCTTTTCAGGTGCCCACAATTCTATCAGTTTCAACTCCAAGAGGGCCTACAGACTTAGAGTCGTTGGGGGTGGCGGTAGAAGATAGGGAATCGAGGATGTAAGAAGGGTGTTTTCTAAGCCAAAGGTGTAGTTACAGGTAGAGCAGTCCAAGAGTCTTCCTATTGCCATGTAGAGCTATCTGTATCTATAGCTACCCAGTTGTTTGCTTGTTCGTTTATTTTTGAAGGGCCTTCGAATCCAGGGAGCTCTGAGCTATCCCCAACTCTTTTCATTTTTTATGTTGCAATAGGGTCTTGCTAAGTGGTTCAGGCTAGCTTGTGATGCTTCTGCCTCATCTTCCTGAGTGACTGAATCTACGGTCATGGGTCATGTGCCACTGCTCCTGGCTTCTATAGATTCTTTTGTCCTTGCTTTGTTTGAGATAGAGTCTCATTATGTAGTTCAACCTGGAGTTGGAGTCACTATATAGGTCAGGCTGGCCTTGAACTTGTGATCCTCCTGCCTCAACCTCCTGAGTGCTGGGATTAGAGGTGTGTCCCACTGCATTCAGTGACTTCTGTGGATTCATAGTTAATGATCAAGAATTTTGATTTGACTGGAGTGGAACACAATATTTAACTGAATTTCACTGGTGCTATTATAAATGTGGATTGAATTAAAATCCCCTAGTAAGGAGTCCTTTAGGAAAAAATTTACATTAGCTACTTTTAGGGACTTATGTAAAATTTCCCCTTTTCATCACAGCATTAACATTTAAAAACTGAGCAACTTAAAAGATAAAGTTATCATTATGTGCTTAGTGCTTGACTTCTTGGGGGGGGCATGAACTAAAAAGACAAATAAAGGTCAGAATCTAAAATTAAACCAGGAGTTTAAACGCTTAGGGTGCAATGCTCATTTTGTGCTGTGGAGCACTGCAGGCTGGAAGTTTTTCCTGGGGTGATATATCTTGTTATATTGAACAGCTTCTTCTTTTTTTGGAACTGGGGATCAAACTCATGACCTTGCACTTGCCAGGCAGGCATTTATGCCACTGAACTATATCCCCAGCCCAGCTTCTTATTGTGTAGGAAAAACAGCCAATTCCAAACAAAATTTACATAATCTTCCATGATAAGAAAACACAACCATTGCTTAACACCATTTCAATCCTAATGTCATGTCATATTAGAAGATTATTAATTCTCCCAGGCTTGCCTGTATATGCAAAGATGTGCAGAGAGCAACACCCTCTGGGTAGCTGTGTGATTCTGGGAAAGGAAGTGACTCGGTTTGTGACCTTTGTTTCATCTGTGCTGAGAGTGGCCTCTTCAGCTCGCCCACAAGCCAAAAGCCTAAGGATTGTACAGACTCAACTATTTCCTAGAACAATGGTATGGTCTGAGCTTGTCTCTGCTGGACCAATGAGTGGGCTACAGAAATACATTTTTCCACCAATCATTATTTTGGTGCCTGTCATTTATGTGAATAGTAGCCCTTTAGCTGAAATTCTTTTCCTAATAAAGAATGAGAGGGAAAGAAATGGCATCTTTTAAGAGTTCCTTAGGCAAGAGCTTGTCGAAGAATTTCTGAGCAGTAACATAATCTCCCTAGGGTTTGCAGAGCTGTTTTCAACAATGTTTTCTGTTGCACAGCAGGTATTATTCAACTTATACAGTCTCAGCCCCACCCAGAACAGCTTTTAATCACTTAATAAAGGTAGCCTGAGGAGATAAAGTCAGAGTCACCTAAAGTGCTTTCCGTTCCTGCAGTACTGAGCAGGCACTGTCACTCTCAAAATGCAGGGTAGTTGGGTTTGCATTTTTCCCTTCATATCGGAATTAGGACCTGCGTTTCTGTTTGCCAAGATAACCTCAGATAGTTGTATTTCTTTCTGCCCACGGACACACACCCAGAATCTTCATAGAAGAGTCTTTTTCCTAACCAGCCACCACTGAATTGTACTTCTGCCTATGTGTAAGTTATTTCTTGAAAAAACTAATTTCAAGCACGGTTTAAAAGTATTTTTATAAGTGTATTAATTTTACAAAATATTGGGTTTCAGTGTATTTTCATACATGTGTATATTTTGATCATATTCATCAATTCTTTACCCTCTCTCCACCTTTCCCCCTTTATTCCTTTTCTCTTGTCTAATAAATCTTATTTTTATTTCATCTTTTGGAGGGTCTACATATCAGAAAAACAGGTGATACTTGGTTTTCTGAGTCTGGTCCATTTTGCTTAACATAAGGATCTCCAGTTCTAACCATCTTCCTGGAAATGACATCACTGCATGTTTCTTTACAGTCTAGTAATACTCTGTCGTCTGTTCATCTGCTGATGGTTACTCGGGCTGACTGCATAGCGTGGTTATCATGAATTGTGCTGCAATAAACTTGTGTATACAAGTAGCCCTTGTGCTGAGGTACCAAGGAATGGTATGGCTGGGTCATGCGTTAGTTCCATTTTAGTTTTTTGAGAAATTTACAAATTGATTTCCATAGCTGCACCAATGTACATTCCCACTAGCAGTGTAGAACCCCTCCACATCAACTTTTTAAAAAAATATATTCTTGATGATAGCCATATTGATTTGGGTGAGATGGAATCTTAATGTCAGCCTGCAGTTTAAAAAGCAGATCCAGTCTGAAATTCAGTATCACAGACAGGCAGTGGCATGCCTGTAATTCCAGTACTTGGGAGGCTGAGGCAGGAGGATCCTTACAAAGTGAGCTGAAGGCCAACCTGAACTACATAATGATCAAGACCCTGTCAAAAAACAAAAACAACAACAACAACAACAAAAAAAAAAACCCCAAAAAACTCGGCATCACAATTTTATGCTTTCTGGCCATTATCCTGGGATTTAGAAAGTCTGCAGGCTTACACCTGTATCAGGGAACTCTAACAAACACATGGAGGAGGGGGAAATGAGGGAAGAGAATGAAAAAAAGAATGAAGATGTGTCCTTGATATAGGGGAACAAAACTCCCAACCTTACTATATGTCTGGAACAAGTTCGTGTTCTCTAAAATTGAAGAATGAATTTTAGGAACAACACATGTTAAGAGCAGAAATATTTATTGAAAGAAAGCTTCCGAGAGAGATACAGAAGAGGTCCTGAGTGGGTTACCAAGATTCTGTATTTTGGGGGGATTTTTATGGAGTAAAATCATGAGGGGTAGCAGATCTAAAATTGGGGAAAACTGGGAACTCGCAAGACAGATGGGCATGAGGTGGGACACAGCTTTGGTAAACCAATAAGTTTAATTGTTCAAGTAAAATTGACCAAATCAGGGACAAATGGAGAAGCTGATCATGTAGCAAGCAAGCATTCTTTATGGATCAGTGACTTTTCCTGGAGTGTTGGGATGGTGACTCTTGGCTTCTCAGACTTAATCCTTAAGGATTATACTTAAGGGTGTGGTTGCATGTGTTTCACCTTCTGTCCTGAGATCTGGCCCACAGCAAGAGGTGTGTGTCTCCTCCAAGGTCACCAGACGTTCTTTCAGGGCCTAGCCCTGTCTGACTGCCTTTAATACTTCTAACTAGCTCAGTTGCCTGTAACATCACGTCCACTACCACCATGAACCTAATCTTCATGTGCTGCAAACATATACTAATAAAAACTTAAAACATTTTTAAGAATGGGCTGCAGATGTAGCTCAGCAGGAAGGACCTGTGTTCAATTTCTAGTGCCATTAAAACAAAAATGGAGGACCTAGTGACAACGGAGCATTGCCATTAATATTGAATTGCTGTGGTTTTTTTGCTGCTAGAGGTGAAGTTGCTAATGAGTCTATGCCTGGAGGACCCACGAGGGTAATAAGGCTCCACTTAGCTCACGTGACGTGAGCGTTAACTGGACAGCGGTTACGTTCTCAATGCTGCCCTCACCAAAATGGCCCCAGGCCATCCCGAGGGGGGCGCCATCTTGGTGGTGGCGGGACTGAGGCCAGGACTAACGCTGGCCGGCCCGCCAAACCCCAAGGTCACAATGATCGAGCGACCCAGGGAAGGGGCAGCACACCTAACGGCTGCTTGGGCTCCAGCAGCGTGTCCCTAGAGCATGGCGAGGTGGCGGCGGATAAGGCCCTGCTTCCATCTGCTGGCGCTCCCTGCGGAGCCGGAGAGGAGGCGCCGGGGGCACAGGGGCCGCGGCCCCGCCCGCTGCACCGGGGCGCCGTGGCCCGCAGCGGTGAGGGCCGCAGCTGAGGAGCCGCAGCAGCCGCAGCAACAGCACCGGCTCCCGCGCCCCGCTCCCCGCGCTAGGTGAGCGCGCGCTCCCGCTCGCCCCGCCCCCGGCTCGGGCCCGCGCACTCGGCCCCTGGCGCTGGCGGGCGGCGGTGTCGCACAGCCGGCCGGGCCGCTGCACTCCGCGAGAGGTGGCGCTGCCTGCGCGTGGGCGTCGCGGTGCCCAAGCCCGGCTCGGCGCCGAGATGCTGCGCTGCTGAGCGCTCCTGAGCGGCCGGACGGCGTCGTCCGCTGCCCGTGGCGGGAGCGCCGGCTCCGGGGTCCCACCGCGTCTTCCCGCCGGCCGCGCGGCGCCTTCCCGGCCGGAGTGCGAGCGGGTGCAGCTCCTTCGCGCGTATGTAAATGAGGGTCCGCGACTTCGGGGCGACCCCCTGAGTAATCCGCTCCGGCAGGGTCCCCTTGGGTCTCGGAATAAATGTGAGCTACAGAATGGAGGGCAAGGGCAAAGAAAGTGGGGCAGGCGGGCAGCGGCGGCGGGACGTGGTGTTATCTCGAGTTTTCTGAGTTTAAATTGGGTACTACTGAGGCTTTTCAGCACAGGAATTCAGATAATTATATATATATATATTTTTTTTTTCTTTTTTTTTTTCCCGCAGTAGTGTTTTTTTCTGGATAAGAACCTCTCCACAGGCTCCAGGAGCTGGAAAATTGCACTTCACTACTATCTGGAAACTATTCAGGGAATGAGAAAAGTTAACACTTTTAAAAAACCCTTGTAGTCTTTGCTTTGCTTTTACTCTAGAACCTTCTGTTATGTATATGTCATGACTTGTCAGTTCGCTTTGGTTTAGCATGAAATGTTCCCTATTTGCTATTTGTGTTTCACCAGAAATGTCACCCCTTGAATACACTTTTCTGCAGCCTGAGAATTTCCATCTTGGTTAACAGAGCCTAATGGTTCCTTTTCTGTGGTTTAGTGACACTGACATTGTTTCCGAGGGAAGTTACATAATCTTTAAAAACAAAGATTATCTATATGCTACTGTGGTTTTGCTGCATTAAAGTATTACGCTTGTTACACAAGGAACACAAGGCAGATGCGTTTATTTTAAAAAAGGATTTTAAGAGAGAGAATGAGAGGTAAAAAACATGACCAAGTCAACTGAAAATACAGCTTTGATTTCCAGAGTTTTGTTTTGTAAACATTGTGCAGGATTTCTTGCTGCAAGAATTATATGGTAGGTCTCCCAGGGACAAAAATACTCTCATACCGGTATTTTAACTCACAACTACAAATTACCTTGGGCAATTTCTATGTTGCAAAATTGAATTTTTAAAGTTAGCTTATGTCCACCTATATGAAGTATATTTTCACATATGCAGTCCATGACAAGGTTTTGATGAGGTATAATTGTTTGTAGTCCTCTTGCTGTGTTTGCGTGAAAAGGATATTATGTTGGGTATTTGTGAGCTTGAACACTGGACTTCAGATTCTCTTGAATTAGTTTGTATTTGGAAAAGTGATGCTGTCTTTTAATTTTGCTTTGTCTTTGTAGTGGTAGATTGCTGTGGCTGTAGTAGGTTTTTCCCATTCCTTTCTACTCTATGTGAATAACAATGTGGGTATGTGGAGGGCTGTGTTGATGTGTGCCATTTACATTGAAATGCATGCAGATAAAAAGTGTTTTCCTTGATGTATTCTTAAAGTGAACTGTGCACATAAGTAATCGGTCATTAAAGAACATGTTTGTCTTGAAGGCCTGTGAAGGCATGCATAAAACTGGCATTAGAAAAACACTTGTGATTTTCCAGAAGGTTCAAGTAATTATTCTGACTCGTACAATTCCGAAGAATTCTACCTGTCTACAATTTACAGTGCTTTGCTCTGCTTTCCTTTGAATTTTATAAGCATTTCCTGCGTATTTATTTTATCAACAGATTTTCATGGCACATTATGTGTGTCCTTGGATATTGATTTTGTGTCATGCATACAGTCTTCTGGCAAGCCAACTGGTTGAATAATGTACTATAATTTTATCATTTACAAAACAGTTTGGGTTTCTTTAAAAATATGTTTATTTTTATTTGAATCTTTAGATGTAATGTATGTGAGACTATTAACTCCATCATATGGATGAGAAGAACAGGAATTTGAGAGCCCAGAAGATTTTAGGGATGTGGGCAAGGTGCCAGCAGCCCAGCTCTTGTTAGACAGGGTAGAGTGAGCTGGGTTGGTGACCTGTCTGTAGATTACCTCCCTAGGGCCATGGAGCAGCGTGTGAACGGCCACTAACCACTGCGCTGGTGTCGGAGGCACAGGGTTAGTGCATAGATGAATCAGGATCATTCAGACACTGCTGAAAAACAACTCTGCCTGCTCCCCAGAACAATCTGTCTTTCCCCTGGTGGGGCAGCAGATTTTTTTGTGTTTCTCCAGTTAGGGGACCTTGCCAGATTAAGAGAGAATTACATATTGTTGAACAATGAATGCCTGTATAGTTGTGTGTGCTTTTGTAATCTCTGTTACAAACATGAAGTTCTGGGGATAGGAAAACACCAGCCTCTCTCACTGTTGTTACTCGTGAACTGGTCACATTCTTGCATGGTTTACATGGCAGAGGCTTGGCCTGGGACAGTTGGGGAACAGCAGTAATTTTTTACAAATTGTGTTCTGTATTTTGATCCTTCTTCCATAGGAGAAATCCCTGGGAGCCAGATGCATGGGTCCCCGTAGCCAAAAGTGTGTCTTTGCGGGCCTAACACTTCTTGCTCGTGTATTCCCCAAGTAGACCAGGGGTTCTGCTTTTGAAGAGAAAGTTAGTTTTCTAGCAGGCACCTTCTAGTCTTTATCACAATGCTACCAGTTCAGTTCATCAGCACAACGCTTCGCCACAACTTTTTAGTGTTTAGGTTTTGCTGATTAGTAGAGTCGGTGGGGATGATTTTTGTTTGATGATGTTTGGTCTCTGTGGCTATTTGTTACTTTTGCATTTCTCAGTATTTAATTCCCAGCAAGTATTTTTTTTTTTAAATGAGTTATACTTCCGTGAAGAACATTTAGGAATTTAAATTCCTGTTCTTCATTTCTGCACAGGGGTCTTTGTGTTGATAGACAATGCGAATCATTACTGATGTATGTATATTGTATTGTGATTGTATTTCTTTTTTTTTTTTTTTTTTTTTTCTTTTTGCTTGGGAGCGCACAGTTGAGTTTGTGACTCAGATGACTCATTTCTGTGGCCTATCAAACTCTGTATCTAGCAAGGTAACCTTCCCAGGCTTAGTACTGTGCAGCAGTCTCAGGAAATGCTCGTTACCTCTTTATTGGTATGTAGGTGGGACAGAGGGGAAGCGCAGCTTTATGGCAGGCAGCTGCAAGGCTAGCATAATTGTAGGGATACCAGAAAGTTCTTTGGCCCTTCCTAAATAAATGCTTGTTCTACAGCCGTGCTGATGATCGTGTACAGCAGTCGCTGTCATTTCTGCCTGCACATCAGATTCCCCCTACAGAACTTTTAAAACCTAGTTGGGGAGCAGCCCTGCTCCCTGCCCCCAGCGTTTCAGGTGGTAAGTTTTTAAAACTCCACAGATAATTCTGTTGCAGCCAGCCTGGAGAATCACAGGTTAAGGCTCTGTACTCAGTTGCGTGAGAAGTATTCTAAGGAAGATTATCAGTCCCGTACTGGAGATCAGATCTTTTCTGGCACCCTATTTTGACTGCAGAGAGGAGAAGGAGGAAGTCTGATGTTGGGAGAGTGGCCTGGGTTGGAAAAGCAGGACACTGAAATGCCTCAGGGGCAGCTGAGTTACTCAGCATTTATCTGGAACTGGCCTCGTTTACCTTTTCTTCTGTTACTATGGCGGAAACTTTTCCTCTGAGCGAAAGAATCTTCAGGGGCTGTGAGCCCTGGGGAAATGTCAGGAACCTGTGGCCAGCACTAGTGCTGTGAGTTGGCAGTTTTTGGTCCTGGGGGCCGTGAGGGAGAGAGGGGTCAGAAAAAATTACTGTTTTCAGAACCAAGAGACTTGTCAAGGTTAGTGAGGTTCTCCAGGAGGTTGATGAGGCCCCAAAGAGCTATGAGGTCCAGTAGGAATTCTGTGGAGGCATTGTCCTTTTTTATTTGCTTTAAGATTTATGTGAATTCCAGAAAGCCCAGGCTTTCTCTTATTCAAACAGAAGAACAAAAACACATCCCAGAGTTTATTCCATTTCGGTTTATTTATGCCATTGTCTTTAGCCACATATTTCATTAGTGTAAACATTTAAAAATAGTGTATATATAGTCCACTGACCTTCATTGAAGTATTCAGAGCATGGTGAAACAGTGGCTTACGGTTACTGAGGGTTCACTGTGCACAGGCACTCAGCTAAAATGTTAAACTGAGGCTTAGGAAGACAGTGGGCAAAGTTGGAAATGCCTGTTGAAAAATGTGTTTAATTCCTTCTGCTCTTTTCCTGGTAGTGTGGTTTTCCTTGGTAACCAAGTCAAATATATTTTAATTCTGTTCATTTTTAATATGCTTTGGTAACTTACTATGTATTTCTGGCTTTGCTTTGACAGAGGGTACTGATTGAGCTCTGGCCTCAGAGTCCTTTTGGATCTGGGGCTCTGTTGAGCTTTTGGGGTGATCCCTAGCCTCCCCTTGCTCAGGCTTGCTGCTGATGGCGCAAGCCTGGCCGAGAGGGGCTGCCCTCAGGAGCCCAGGCCAGGCTTTCTTGCCAAAGCCCCCACTGTTGGTGTTTGGTTTTTGTCATCTGTTTGTTTGAGTCTGTTGTTTACCACTTTGTCTCACAGGCTTGGCGACATGTATGGCAGAGTAACAGAGTAACGTGACTGCCCTTCTGCCTGTTCCCTCGGCAGCACCGTGGGCTCCGTGACCTCGCTGGTGACTTTCTTGTTTCCATCTCAACTTCTGGGGATCTCAGGGTCCTCTAGCTTGTCAGCCGCATTCAGCAGGTGATGATCTTTCCAGCATCCTGACCCCTGGGGTTGCAGGACCCTCAGAGTGACCCCTCTGTGTGTAGGGAGGAGGGCTTCTCGCTGCTCGGGAATGTGGCTGTGGTTTGGAGACACTCT